AGACAGAACCAATTCCAAAAATCAGTATTTCAATGACGATACATGAGAATGCTGATTTTGAGAAGTCAGTCGGCTGGGAACATTTCATTATCCGCACGCATGTCTGTGTTTGTTAAAAATTCCTCATCCCAATCTCTGCGTATATAAGATTAGCAGAGGACTTTTCAGTCTAATCTCTCTCTCTCTCTCTCTCTCTCTCTTTCTCTCTCTCTCTCAAGTTCGAATATCGATTTGATATGAACGTGACTTTTCGATGTTATCGGTCTCAGGAGGCGATCCCAGCGTTCGGCATCTTTGGAAGTTGCCTGAAAACCATACCATGGGTTGACCATGGCTTTGCCAGTGAAATTGGGTAGACGTAACTGTTTGATAGCCGCCGAAGGTTGTGTACCACGCAGTAACAATCACCGTGATCGTAGGTTTGAGCGTACTGTCGTTGTTCAAACTGCAAATCCTGCCAGATTATGCGTTCACTCCGTATGCAAATATGAGCATAGGCATCATCACCAGATAGCAAGAGACCGCTTGATGCTTAAACACAGTCACTGATGAGAGATATTATATGTAATATGTCGATGCATTGCTAAATGATTATACATTATAAATTCATCGAAAAAGGAAGACAAGGACTGTTAGCAATTAATGCAGGTGTTACTGATAGAAGAGGACTGTAATGAATTATGTATTACATGTATCTACATATAGATACATGTAATACATAATTCATCTTTTAGTTTGTAGCTTAATCCTCTCGAATAAATACTAACGTATAGTTTAATGTTTACCAAAAAATCCAGAATGCGTACATAATTTTTAAGTTGACCATGAAGGAATCGCAGAATTAAAATATGTTGTTAATCATTTATTCCGGAAGTGTGGATGGTGTAATGGATTGCAGCTTGGAATGAGAAATCGAAGAGCAGAGTTCGAGATACAGTCGAGTTCGTTACATTCACGTGCAAATACCCTTGGCAAAAGGCATGAATCCATGTCTTCTCCTCCCAGATATGGGTTAAATAGTAGGATCTGGAAATATCATTGTTATCTCCAAAAAAGGCTTAATGTAATATTCATTTGTAAAAAAAATAAATAAATAAATAAATAAAACGAATTATTCTTAGAATGCAAAATATGCTTCAGTTTTAAATAACCAACAAATTGTTGATAAGCAAAACATTATTCACTCATATCGTCGAATTAGCTTAGATATTCATTGGTCTATCACGCCAACCATCATGGTCCTGCACCAGGGTTGGTAGGTCATTAGGGTGGCATTCTGTGTCCTAACATAGCTGGTCAATATGGTTACTGGGCGGCAAATACGTTTCGCTCCGTAGCTAGGTGTCCAGAACAGTAGATCACTTACGAGTTCTTGTTTTGCTCGCCAGCAGTGTCATGCAAAGCACATTCTGTGTCCGCGCAAAATTGTAGAAATATCAGAGATGGGTCCATAGAGCTGTGATGTGGTTGGATGTTGTCTCCAGGAGATGTTAAGTATAGTTCTCAGCATCCGAGTGTAGATTCCATCAAGTTTAAATTGTAGGGTTTTAGTTAATGTCCAGGCAGTGGCACCATACATTAACATCGCCTTTTCAGTAGTTCGAAAGAATCTCTTTTTGAGGTTGTCTGGTAGATCAGATTTCTAGATTACACCCATTTTATTCAAGACAAATCAAATTTTAGCTATTCGAATTTTCACATCCTTTTCAGTAGAATTTATCTCGCTTCCTAGGTATGTAAAAGATCCGATAGATTTTATTGGTTCACCTGAGACAGTTTGTATTGTGCATTGCTGGTTGAAGCGTATGAATTCAGTTTTAGAAGCACTGGCATAGAGTCCAACATCATTGGCGGCATTTTCTAGCATTTAGGGAGAAAAGTATTAAAAGAACAAAAACAACAATCTTATAGCTTGTCATAACAATTAAAGTACGGTTTACCGAAGCAGAATATATGCAATATATTAAAAAATACAAATGAATCATGTGACATTATTTAGTAATTAAGTAGGGAAGCTTCTTTTAATACTGCGTATTTTTTGTATTTAAATAAGAGAATGACCAGATAGTCAACCATAATGTAATTATTATTTTGTATGAGTCTCCGCCATATTGTTTTGAGATACATTTTGTTTCTATGACAGCCGTTTGAATTTACTTGACGAGTACGCCGTTTTGTTAAGCACTATATCTACGTGACAAAACTGCAAATATATCATCTTTCGACGAGAAGAAAGCACTAAATTTCCCATTATGTTGACAATGCGCTAAGTGGCATTGTTAAAATATCTTCTTCAAATATTCCAACATCAGAAACCTCCGATTTTCGAACAGAACAATCTGCTGACAGTATAAAATTTCCAAATCTGGGCTTTTATATCGGCTCGAAAACACGCCACAGTTGCATATAACTCTTGATGTTAGAATAATCCAGAAGTTATTCGAGGAAGAAATCCCCTGCATACGGATAGAAAATAAATTCAGTAAACACACACACAAAATGTGGCGTAACAAAGATATGCCTATCCTTAGGAGAACTGGTGACTATAACAGGATTTATTATCGGTGGCTACAATCTTAACAATATAATACACGCAGATGAAACTGGGTTGATTTCAAACACAGGAAGAAACCTCCTAGATACACACTCCTCCCGGTCTTTTGAACAGGAGTAAAAGTTTATACCTTATTTCTTGTTTAGGATTGAGTTTCCGGTTCCTTCTAGTCTTTTCATTTTCTTTCACTCTCAGCAGCCCCTTGTGTCTTAGTGGCATTGTCTTCTTGTTTAGAGTGTGAGAAGAAAGCGAGGAGAAAGTACTCAGTATCAATTGTAAGAAGACAAAATATACGCTTGTATATATGCTACCAATTCGAGAAGTCGAAATCAAACAAGCTTTGTTTTCCTCCATGTTTAGTGTCCCTTCAGGACCTGGACGATCATGGCTCAACACAACTTTCTGTCCTTTATATCACTTATTAAATTGTGTCTTTTTCTCTCCTAAACCTTTCTGAACCAAACATTTACAAAAGCTCGTTAGCCAGGTTATGCGCTGTTTTCAGTTGTCCGTTATTCTTTCAGTGTGTCCTGTGAGTGTCAAATTTTTCAAGCCCTTTTTCCTCTGGAAATGTCAACTATCTCTGATGTTAAGTCTAAATATCCTTTGTTTTCATTTTCGCTATACATAGAGTCTCTACAATTTGTCATTCACTTACTCATCATTCGTCTGATATACGGAGTTTATCTGTCATATTCCCCCATACAGAAACACGTGTGCCGTGTCCCTTCAGGACGTGGACGATCATGACTCTCCACAAATTCCTCCTCTTTGTAGCTCGTTTGACTTTTTGCTATCTCTGCTAATCTATTTTCTGCCAAGATCTTTATGCGTTGTTTTCCTCTGTCCCTCTTGCCTTCAGTATGTCCTGTGAGTTTCAAATTTTCCAAGCCTTCTTTCCTCATTATCAATTGTCTCTTTCTGATGCTAAGTATAATTATTTGTTTTGTTTCTATTTTCCTTAAAACTTAGTCATTGTTCAAATGTTCAGTCTATTGTATTCTCAGTATCCTTCTTTAGAACTATAGTTCTATTACCTCAAGTTTCCACTTCATCTCTGATCAGATTGTCTAGCATTCACTGCCAGATAGGAAGACTGTTATTATATATGGGAAATGTGAGACGTAAATTGGTATGCGCATTAGATTCGTAAACGATGCCTTTCATAAAATAAGAAAAGTAATAAGAGTAAAATTCTGTTAGAAACAAAGAAAAATTGACTGAACTGCCATGTCATATCAATCCTCTGTAATGGCAATAAATGCTAAAACTTTCCTCGCAGATGGGGATGACTCTTGATATAACACAGTAATTCGTTTTCTATAGCTTATCAACACTTTGCGGCTCATTTAAGTCAGAGAATATTTTTAGATTTTAAGAATATTCTTTTGGGGGAGGGGAGATATAATGATCTAGTGATACAAGTTTTACTAATTAACCTTTAAGTTGGGGTGGGGAGAAGCGGTAGATTCATACCTTTCCAAAGTGTATTTGTGTGTAAAGGAATATAAGAAACCCAACTGGAATTGGAACTCGGCTCTACGATTAACAGTTCCGAGACCTTATCCATTACATCGCCCGCACATTCAAATTTTCACAACACCTGGTATTTCCAAGCGGTCACCCACTAGGTACTGACCAAGCTTGACGTTGCTTTACTTCGGTGATCGTACGGGAACTGGTGCTTCAACGTGATATGGCCTTTGATACAAAACCGATAGAGTTCTACAGAAGGACACTGAGAATACCATGGACACAGTGTGTAAACGCCGACGACATTTTAAAATAATGGAAACAAAGAGAACTATTATACTTAGAATTAGAGAGAGGCAGTGGAAATTTCTAGTATACATCAGGAGGAAAGAAGGCTTGGAAAATTTGACACTCACAGGACATAGTGAAGGTAAGCGATAAAGAGAGGAACAGCATTAAGCCAGATGGGATTGAGTAAACTAATAACAGAACAGGGAGAGGGTTAGTAAAAAGAGAAACATTGCTAAGAATAGGAAGTTGTGGAGAGCTATGATCCCCCACGTCCTGAAGGGAACAGATAGATAGATAGATAGATAGATAGATAGATAGATAGATAGATAGATAGATAGATAATGTTACGTTTTCTGTTTGAAGAGACGTGTTTGCGTCTAATACTAAGCCCGGAAGATTAACTAAAAATGCAACAAAAAAGAAACGAAAATTATGCTTGGAATAAAAGTTTTCATGAAGGAAATATTTTTCAACCAAACTTGAATTTATGTAGCATCCATAAAGACTTTCTGTCACTTAGCAACAGAAATGAAAACAAGACTTATTCACTCTCTGGTTTTCCCATCCAGCGCTCTCACAAAATCCCGCTAGACTGAAGCCATAAAACAGGAAATTACGAGAACATAAAAAATAAAACGAAATTTACCGAAGGGGTTCGAAGTAAGACATCGCTAAGGCTTTTATGGCTTCTCTCTCTAGAAAGAATTCTGTTTAATAATGAGAATTGGATTATATCAACTCACCAGAGATTGAAAGTTCATACTTTCTTTCTACTTTTCTTCCTTTCTTTTATTCTTTATCTTTCTTTATTCATTTCATTTTTTATTCCTTAGCTATCTTTCTTTCTCTTATTCCTTTGCTTTCTTTCTTTCTTTCTTTCTCTTATTCCTTTGCTTTCTTTCTTTCTCTTCTTTCTTCTTTCTTTCTTTCTTTCTTTCTTTCTTTCTTTCTTTCGTTCTTTGCTTGTTTGCATTCTTTCTTCTTTCTTTCTTTCTTTCTTTCTTTCTCTTATTCCTTTGCTTTCTTTCTTTCTCTTCTTTCTTCTTTCTTTCTTTCTTTCTTTCTTTCTTTCTTTTCGTTCTTTGCTTGTTTGCATTCTTTCTTCTTTCTTTCTTTCTTTCTTTCTCTTATTCCTTTTGCTTTCTTTCTTTCTCTTCTTTCTTCTTTCTTTCTTTCTTTCTTTCTTTCTTTCATTCTTTCGTTCTTTGCTTGTTTGCATTCTTTCTTCTTTCTTTCTTTCTTTCTTTCTTTCTTTCTCTTATTCCTTTGCTTTCTTTCTTTCTCTTCTTTCTTCTTTCTTTCTTTCTTTCTTTCGTTCTTTGCTTGTTTGCATTCTTTCTTCTTTCTTTCTTTCTTTCTTTCTTTCTTTCTTTCTCTTATTCCTTTGCTTTCTTTCTTTCTCTTCTTTCTTTCTCTTCTTTCTTCTTTCTTTCTTTCTTTCTTTCTTTCTTTCGTTCTTTGCTTGTTTGCATTCTTTCTTCTTTCTTTCTTTCTTTCTCTTATTCCTTTGCTTTCTTTCTTTCTCTTCTTTCTTTCTCTTCTTTCTTCTTTCTTTCGTTCTTTGCTTGTTTGCATTCTTTCTTTCTTTCTTTCTTTCTTTCTTTCTTTCTTTCTTTCTTTCGTCCTTTCTTTCTCTTATTCCTTTGCTTGCTTGCTTTCTTTTTTCTTTCTTTCTCTTATTTCTTTCTTTCTTTCTCTTCTTTCTTTCTCTTCTTTCTTTCTTTCTTTCTTACGCTTCCCTTTCATTCCTTTTTATAAATTAGACATTTTGCCTGTTATTTTCTGCTTTTTTTTCTTTATTTCGTCTAGATTCGTTTTATTTTACAACATTTACATTTACATCTTTCTCTTTATTGCTTGCTTTCGATTTTAAAGTGAAAATAGACTCGTCTATTTCCGGTTGTATAAGGAAATGGATTAATCTATTTTGAAGGTGTTCATAAGCCACGACTCTGGTCAGTTTAGATGTTAAGCTGCAACATTTGTAATTATATTAACTCCTGAAAAAAGGTCTATCTTTGGACACTGGTTCCACGTAGCGTATCGGACCTTTGCATTAAAACGGTTTTGTACAACATTAGGAACGAGTGGGCGTTCTGTTACATATCTTAATACTTACAGCTTCCTGAAATGTACATATATATGTAAATAGAGGCTTTTATCACAGCTATCCAGCTACGTCTCTCTCTCTCTCTTTCTCTTTCTTTGTCTCTCCCTCTCTGTCTTTCTTTCTCTCTCTATGACGAAAATAGTTTCGTTTCAAAATACCGAATTGCAAGACAAGACGTGTATGAGATTCGAACTCACACGGGAAGACTCCAGTTATAAACATAGGATATTTAGAAAATATCACATCTGGAATCCCGAGTCCAAGTATTTCATAATGGAACCCAATTCACGCCGGCTGGATTTCAAAATTTCTATCAATATCGATCTATTGAACTTTTCTTTTTCTTTTAATCATTTTACACCAAGTTTGACAATAAATCCAGTAAGATGCGGGGTGGGGGTTGCTAAGCGTGAAAGAATATAAGAAAAAAATTATTAATAAGAAAAAAGAACAATAAAAGATTAGTAATTAAGAAAACAGAACATAAACAGCTGACATTGCATTTAAATTTTTGAAGATCAAAGTTGACTGGAAATCAGGAAATCGAAAGAGAATTTCACAAGCTAGAAGTGCGATGGAAGAAACTATTAGCATAGAACTTACGGTTTCAACTGTAAAATGATGTGACCTTGCTGCCAATCTAGTACTGCGCTTATTCATAAAGTCTAGGTACGGTAGTGAAGAATTCATCAGAACAATTACTATGAAATTATTTATAAAAAAGTCACAGTGAAGCTTCGTTATGCGATGCTGGGAAAATACGCCTCCACATTTTCACCCAAGGTCGAATGGTTAAATAGAATGGTTTGTGGACACATGTAAAAGAGCTTTACAAAAATCAGGAGAGGAAGAGACGAAAGCAGAGTTCATCTTGACAAAGTCATCACTCAAATATCAACAATGGAACTTCACAAGTAAGATTTAAGTCTCAACTGAATTATCAGAACGATTGTTTTATAGAATTTTATCAGGAGGATCGAGTAAATCAGATATGAAATAACGTCAAAATATTTCGAACATATTTTCATATATAGAAATGGAAAGCAGGGATGGGAGGCGGGAAAAATACGTCGTCGTTGGCGGGAAAAATACGTCGTCGTTGGCGGGAAAAATACGTCGTCGTTGGCGGACCTCGTTGCTGATTATTGGGGTACTCCCCATCGACATTTCTTTCTGTGTGAAATGAGTCCTTTGCTGGATCTGAAGAGACGTCCGCAGCCCCCGAACGGTAGGTTAGGGTAGGAGGGTTCTATTTGTCTTCTGGTGTTTTTGAATTGCTATTGCTCTTCTCTAATTGGTTCTTTAGACGTGAGAAGAAGAAAAAAGTATTTCAGCATGAAAGCCTTGGATTCAAATTGTTTGAGTTGGTCAACGGGTAAGCCACTTCAGAGCACATAAACCAGGGCTTGACAGGAAGATTCATGATAACAACTTTCATAGGGTTGTCAACTTGTTCTCATACCTAGAACGTCGCCTTGACCTCATACCTGTCGGGCATCAGGTCGTGCTGAGTCTGGTCTCGTCCCTGAATCTTTATCGTCATGGGTGACCTTTCCAGGAGACGGAGCATTGCATTCAGATTACTTGTTATATATATATATATATATATATATATATATATATATGTGTGTGTGTGTGTGTGTGTGTGTGTGTGTGTGTGTGTGTGTATCGTCGTTGCTGGTTATTGGGGTGCTCATTGACATTTTTTCTGGAATGATTCCTTTGTTGGTTCTGAAGAGACGTCCGCAGCCACTGAACGGTAGGTTAGGTGGGGGGGTCAGGGGGTGGAGAGGTCTGGCTTCTCTTTGGACTCTCTTCGTCTATTCTATTTGTCTTCTGGTGTTTTCGAAGGATGTTTCTTTTTCATGGACTTCTCTTTTCCAATTGGTTCTTTCTAGAGCTTCCGTCTTCCGTATTGATTGGATCGATTTCTATCCTCAGCCAGGTGTTTTTGAGCTGATAATCGAATCGATCATGTAGCGCTCCATGCGGTCCCTTGCCAGATGCGAGTGCTGAGGAAAGGATTTATTTGGGTAGACAGATGTTTGGCATTCCGGCGAGGTGTCCGGGCATTGAAGTCATAGTATACGCATATGTCCCCTTTTCTAGGAGATTAGCTCCTAGAAAAGGGGACATATGCATATACTATGCAAAGAGTCTGCCTCCAATTCAGTCGAAAAGTTTTGATGCGGATGCCCCGCCCCATCAAGTTACCCATTGATTTATTATGTGAAATATGAGGGGGGTGTATATTTCAGCACTATCCCCAATGATATTTGTTGTGGAACTAAAAAAAAAAAGAGAGGAAAAAAAGGAAACATGTCATAACGGAATTTTTAGAGTTGAGCCAGAAAATGTCAATTTTACTCACTTAAAAGGATGGGAATCTTTTCTTTAAGGATGTTGTATAGTTACAGTTAAGACCAGTGTATTTCCGGATTTATCGAGAAATGGATTCGGCTATTTTGGGGGAATTGACAAGCCGTGGCGCTGTTTGGTTTAGTTCTTAACTCTCAGAGATTTCTGAAATGTACATATGTAAATAAATGCTTTTAACACAGATTTTCAGTTACGTGTCTTTTTCTTCAGCTAACATGGTTCCATTGAAAAATTTTCACAGAAAATATTCTGTCGGAGGACGAATATTTTCTATGAAAATTTCTCGGATATTCAGGCCGGTAAATGTTTATTATAAACAGAGCATTTACTTAAATATTTGTATCTATAAAAAGAACGTATAAACATAAAAAAAATGCCTTAAAAATAATTGTCGGACTTTGTCCATTTCCAAAATGTGCATATATATATATATATATATATATATATATATATATATATATATATATATATATATATATATATATATATAAAAATTTGAACATTTACTTAAATATTTGTATCTATAAAAAAGAACGTATAAACATAAAAAATATATAAAATTCCATTGAGGATGAAATGGAACTAATGTCTTTAATTTAATTACAAAATTAAATCCGGAGCTTTCAGCTTCCATTTTTGAAACATGGTTAGAACTGTGTAGCGAAAAAACATATTTTAAATCAATTAATTTATAATATTAATGCTCTGTAAATTTACATTGAGCACTATTTTGTAAAAATAAAAATATCTATAAGAACACCGGATTATATATCTTAGTGTTCTTTTTTTTTTATATATATATATATATATATATATATATATATATATATATATATATATATATATAATATAGTAATTCATAATTTATGCAAGCTTGCATATCTTGAACCGACACAGCAAAAAAGCACTGCAAAAAATCCGGTAAATCCTGTTCAATTAAACAAAAATAATATATCACATAAATTGCAAAAAAAAAAAAAAAAACGAATAAAAACGTTAGAAGCCGTAACCATAAAAATGACAAAACCAACATCAATAACATTCAATTTAAGACGAAAGTACTAAATATATTTTCTAATTAATAAAACAATAAACAACTGTATGTCACCGCAAACTGACATATGAAGACGCGATATCTGATTTTAAAAAAATCTACATGACATTGACTAACGAATAAAAATGCGACAATCGAAAAACCACCAAAGAAATATTCTTCTCGGCTAACACAAAAAATCGTCCAAAGTGGAGAAAATTTATTAAAAAATTCTAAACAACTTTCGCAGGTTTTCAACCAAATAGCATCGTAATGATAAAACAAAAAAGGAATTATGTACATTATTATTTATTTTCAACATAATCTTCTTCTTTGTCAAGAGACTTAATTCAAGGATGAATATTAATCACAGAGATCGAACATTAAACAGTTTCAGATCTAAATTCAGCTAATATCTATGTCAAGCAAAGTTTTTAATGATACACTCATATATATATATATATATATATATATATATATATATATATATATATATATATACACCTTTCTGATCAAAATTTAAGACCACTTGAATTTTTTTTTAAAAAGACAGTTTTTCATGAAAAATTTTTAAACATTTCTTACTTAAGTTTACTAATTTTATAATCTAAAAGGTTATGGAGACAAAAAGTTATAATTCGAACATTTTATTGAGAAATTGACATTTTTATAAAATGAGGCGTTTTACACTTGATCAAAATTATAAGACCAGAGACAAAAATTCTACAAAATTGTACGAAAAGTGTAAGAAAACATTCAACAACCAAATTTGATAATGGGTTCTACCTCCACTAGTTTTGATGACTTCAAAAAATTATTTTGGGCATGCTAGAAATTAGTGTTTCCATTAAGCTGTGAGGAATATTGCTCCAACTTCTGAAGATAGCTTCACGAAGTTCATTTTTTGTTGAATATTGTTTACCATTTCGATAAACAACTCTTGCCATCCATCCCCAAACATTTTCAATTGGGTTCAAGTCCAGTGAGCATGCAGGATGTCTCAAGGAATGGACCCCATTTTCTTGTAGAAATGTAGCATGCAGCGTGGATTGCAGCATTATCTTGTTGGAATAACCATCCATCCCCACACAAACGATGGCCCTCCGTCACCAACAATGCTTTTTGTAGCATGCTAACATAACCAGCCGCTGTCTGACGACCCTGCACCACCAGGAGCTCCATTGTCCCTCTGTAAGAAAAGGCGCCCCCATACCATTAGGGACCCTCCACCGCTATGATGT